GATGAACCGGAACCAGGCAATCTCATCCTTCTTATTAGGAGTGACTGTGGCTCAGTGGGTAGACTTGTTGTCTTGTATTCAGGGCCGGCGATTGCTACAGGCAAGCTAGGCAATTGCCTAGGGCGACAAATGTGTTGGGGGCGCCCTCTATATTTAGCGTCGCCCTTAGGCTTACTTCCCATTAATCATAGAATTAGAAAAAAAAGCGAATTAAACCGGTTATGAAGCGTCCGTCAGTTTGACTTAACCTTACGTATATATAAATAGCAAAATATGAACAAATAAATATACCACCGTTTTTTTATTTATTTTTTCACATTTAAGAGAAAATCGGAAAAGATTCTGATCACTTTTCAAGCGCCCTCCAACCCGGAAGTCGTGACGCCAATCACTGCAGCATGTACACCAATATTTTGGAATGAAATTGTAAGCAAACAGATATTAAAAGTAAAACAAGTGAAGTCTGGCAGTTAACTTAGCTCGCGACTCGAGAATGGCTGAACGGAAAAGACTCCTCCTCCAGCTGCTGCCGCAGTCGGCCCGTCTTCATCATCCACTCAGAGTACCACTGGTAAGCGCACACAGACTTTGTAGCTTGTCCGGTCAGTTAAAAATATTAATTGTGAAATCCGTGTTGTAATCGGAAGCATACAAGCTAGTTAGCTTGAAAAGTAAATAAAGTTTCAGACGTGCTGCGTGATGATGTGTTCAGATTGGCTCAGTAAAATGACAATTAGGTTATCATGATGCGTTCAAGTGTAACGTAAAGAAAACGGGAAATTTTGTTTTTGGCGAGAAACATGAGTAATACAGTTGTATATTGCTCTATATATAATTAAACTACTGATGCCAACATTTATTAAAAATTACATTTAATTTAAAATACAATTATTTATTTGTTAAATATTTTCCTAATCACTAAAAACATGATGAAAAGTGACAGTAGACAATACATTAACCAACAATTGTGAAAATATATTCTAGTTAGTTTTATGTCATTTCGAAGTGGCCTATTACATTAGCCATGTTTATTGAAGGCTAGAAACGTTTTTGTTATGCTCACTTGTTAAGCAATAGAAGCAATACCAGTTCTGTTAATAAAATTTTGTTGCATCGTCTTTCCACCAAATAACAGAAAAGTATCGATAGTGGTATCGATAAAGACTCGGATCGATAAGGAGTATCGATAAAGGTATCGATATCAATAAATATTAACGATCCCCATCCCTAATGTTGACATCATTTTTTTCTCAGAATTATGTGCTATATTATTAGCTTGAGAATGGGTAGAAGATACTAATATAAATAAAATATTTTGTAGTGATTATCTGCATTGAGTATTCAAAAGGGATGTACAAATAATCATCAAAATATATGAAGTTATGGCTGTTCATCATAGAATATGTGAACAAAAAAAAAACAACTTCAAACTTTTAATTTTGTAATGGTATTCATAAAAGCACTTTTGTTTGTAGAGGGTTAATCCTTTCTTTAATCACTAATCAATGTCAGAAATCAGGGTAAATATACCTGATCTATTTTATTTAGAGGAAAATTTTGTTTATCTCATTTCTATTTATGTTCAAATGATTTAATTGAACTGGAACAGAAAATGTAATTTAATGTTTATCAATTACTTTTTTATGTAGTCCTTGGTTGAGGAATTTCTTAAATTTATTATTTTTTATTGTTATTTGGTAATTTCTGAAATTGATTTATTTAATATTTGTTTAATGTGTGTTAAATTTGTTAATTGTCTGAAATAAATTCATTCAATGATTCAATCCAGTTTTTTAGTTATACTTTACCTAAGTGTCCTTACAGATGGTTAAAAGTGTTTTTGCACAGTCCTAACTTTGAGTGTGTAATAAATTATTTAAAATAATAAAAAAGAAAAGGTACGGAAACCTATTCTGGTATTTGTCTATGCATCACTCCATGCTAAGTTACAGTTTTTTCTGAATGCTTAAACACAACCTTGATTCTTATAGCACAATTTCTAAAACTATTAATACTTATAGCAAATCCACTCACTGAGTTCACAAAACTAAAAGAACAAACACTGCTTTGCACTCAATTTGCAATTTTGTAACACACACTTTGCACAACTGTAGGTACAATTCCCCGCACAGCACTCTTTATGGAACTGTAAACACAACTCAATGAGGCACTAAACAGATGCTGAAAACAGTACTGGTATTTCGCACGGCAAAAGTGAGATGGGGGTGGGGACACAACACTCAATCTCGCCTAGGGCAACCAAAGGGCTAGAACCGGCCCTGCTTGTATTGGTGGGTAGTCTGTGATTAAAATAAAAACTATTAGGCAGAATGGATTCATTATCTGATGATCTGCTGTAGTTTGTGCCAGGAGGCAACATCTAAATGTCAAGCCCCACTAGACGAGGCATCATGTATCCAATTGTTCAGTTTTAGGGATTCTATTCAATCAGTGGCCTCAAAGCATTCACCAAATGACAATATACGCTTAGAAACTTTAATTACATATAATATAGATTATTCTAAGGCATCTTTTTAACAAGCAAGTTGCTATAATTAAGTGCAAGTTCTCACTTTTCACATTAGATTCATATTCAATAAATCAGAATAATGCTACTAAAATAATATTCAACTTCAGTTACTATGTTTACTATATAGCATATTAGAGAGATGATTAAACACAAGGAGGCTTATTTTTAAAGCCTTTCTATTTGTCTACTATGCTAATTTTCTGCTTGCAGTTCAAGAAACCCTGACAGTTGAGATTAAAATATGTTATATTAGACCAATAAAAACTATTGGATTTACAAAAAGTGTGGACTTAATGAAAAGTTTGTTTGATACCTGCTTTGTGGTGGTCTGCCGCTTTTTGGTTTACTGTTGTGCAGTCATAGATAGTATCATACATTGGTTAAATGACATTGTCTATTTGAGCTACTGTTACCTTTCTATGCTTTCAATCCATTTTCATCAGAACTCTTTGAGTTTGAAACTCATCTTGTTTGTTGCTTACTGGGTTTTTCTATTGTTTTTTTTTTATTTATTTTTTTTTTTTTACTTTGGACTATTTTGTAAACCACAGAGATGCTGTGTGTGAAATTCCCCATGCATCAGCAGTTTCTGAAAAACTCACACCATCCATCTGAAGCCAAAATGTATCCAGCATCTAGTCATTCAATCTCTTTTCCCTGATTCTGATGATCCTCAGCAAATCGTGCTCATAATGTCTAGGTGTCTAAATGCATTGATTTGCTGCCATGCGGTTGGCTGAGTCACTGTTCCTGTTAACAAGCCTTTAAACCAGTGTACCTTTTAAATTGGCTGGTTAGTTTATGCATAAGGAAACACAGATTCTAGATGTATGAAGGCTGGTTGGTAAGTACAGGAGTAAGGGAAATTGACTGATATAGCCATCATACTACACATGAATATGGCATGTTTTCCTGCAGTCAAGGTCAAAATAAAGTAATACTGTAAATAGTTTTCTCTGTACATAAAATATGCTATATATGAAAAAGCAACACATGAGTTAGGATTAAATGCCATCAAGGATACATGGAAATCCTTGAGGCTTTCTTTTTGGTCACTCACATTTAAACCGGAATTTCAGATGCTCAATACTTCAAGGCCTGCTTTAGATATTTCACAGGAGAGAGACTAAAAAAAGTATTTTCAGACATTCTTGTTAAATGTGTTTAGGAAAATGTTCGTCAAAACAGCATTTATAAAGGTTCCCTAGAAGTGCAAATCTCCAATGCTGTGTTGCTAATACAATGGAATACCACACCTAGTATTTGTTTTTTAATAAGTTGTGCTGAGGTTTAAAGTAAGTTCCTTTTGTTTCCCTTCCCCTTAGTTAAACCTCACTTTGTGTAATTAGGGACATCCCCTTTCTTCAATAAATAGCAACACTGCAAAAAATCTAAATCTAGATAAGTCATTTTTTCTTAAAATAAGTGCATTTGTTCTTGAATTGAGGAGGTAAAAGAGACATTTTGCCAATGGAACAAGACAATTTACACTTAAAATAAAAAAAACACAATTGCATTTTCTTATTTTAAGTGCATATTATCTAATTATCTTATTTTAAGAGTAAAATTACTCATTCCATTGGCTAACTATCATTTACCTACTCAAATTGAGGGTGAATACACTTAATTTAAGAAATTTTAAGTTATTTCTAGATCGTTTTTGCAGTGAAGGAGAAAGCTGAAGACTGCAGAGTGGGGTGGAGATTTGTAAACTCCGCAGTCTCTTCCTACTCTCCTCGCGAGTAACTAAATTAATTGTCTCTGTGCCTTCTTTCTTTCCCTGTATATATGTATGATGTTTTAAGTGCTTAGACCTAACATTGAGCATAAGATAATAGGAAGCCTGACTTTTCAGCTCTTTATGTAATTAAGAGTTTTAGATTTTGATTCTCTAGAGGAAAGAAAGGATTAATTTTACTTGTCCTGGTAAAAGGCAGGGAAAAAATTGTTCGCTTTGTCAGAATTTTCCCACCTGCTTAATTCTTTGCAAGAAAAACTTACAAAAACACATTTAAAGACTGCTTCAAGTTTAACTTATCAACTAGCGATTGTCTCTTAGAAAGCAAGACCACTTTTTTTTTTGTAGTAAAAGCCGATTTTATTTCAATTTTTTTGTATAAAACTAATAAAAAAACCTTACCATTAATTGAGGTAAATATAAAAAAAAATGAAAACATAAGTCAGATGTGTTTAATAAAACAAGTTATCTATATTCCTACAAGCGCACGTTTTAGTAGATTCTCATCTACTAAAGACCTGAAAAGAGCCAATTCTACAAATATTAATGCACATCTGAACTCTAGAATTAGAGTGAGCAACTGGGAAACCTTGGATGTCATTACAAGCGTGAGAAGGAGAAGAACTACTAACTGTTGACTGTTACTCAGCTGCCAAAAAGTAAAACTTCTGCTTCATAATTTGCTTTAAAGTTTTGCTTCACTCCAATATTTTTCTCCTTTGTCTATTTCAGGCCTTAGAGGTGAAGCCCTGCAGCATGGCCAGTCTGGGACCCTGCCCCGATTCTTGGAGGAGCCTGTCGATGCCTACATTATCAAAAGTAACCCTATCAAGCTCAGGTGTCAGGCACGACCAGCACTCCAAATCTTCTTCAAGTGCAACGGTGAATGGGTCCACCAGAGCCAGCATATGTCTCAAGAGCACACAGATGTCGTGACAGGTACAGTGAAAAACACAAACTGCCTGGTTTACATCCAAATAGTCTCGACCTTTTAAAATGAAGAATTTTTGATGCTGTTTGGTGCTACGTCCGCAGGGAATGTCAGAACTTTGCTGTCACTCTCAAAAACTAGCCAAGAGCTTGCAGGGTAAATTAATTTTCTGTGCATTTAAAAGCACTAGTGTCTGCTTCAGGGCTGTCTCGACTGTTGACATCCTCTTCCAGAGCCTCTCTTAGTATTCACTGTATAACCACTTCAAATGATTCACAATATGCCTACATGTCTGATGTTAGATCCACCAATTAAGGGACACAGCTCACTCATCTGTGCGTCACTGGTGGACTCATACTTCAGTAAATAATGCATGCCTATGGAATAACAGAAGGCCAGTTCATACAATCTCATCTTCCTGAACACTACATTGCTCCGACAAACCCTGTCTGCTATGGAAAACCCAACCTTTACTGTACCTGCACTTTTAGCACTCAAACCCACCTAACATTTACTTAATTTGCACTTCTGTACCTGTTCCACGGGTACCGTCTCTTAAATAGCACCTAAAGTGTATGCCAGAGGCACTAGATGCACTGAGGCTTGATTGTAATTCCTTGCAAGTCACTTAAGATAAAAGCATCTACGGAATTAAGGAATGGGATCCTAAAAAAGGTGTAAAAAGAAAGAGTTGGATTCTTTATTAGGACTCTATCTGGTCTTGTTTTATGTCCCTGACTTTCTCTACTTCTCTGTCTTTTTCATTTGTCTACCTTCTGAACTGATGAATAATTTATGAACAAACCAAAAAATGCAGAAGATTATAAGTGTCTTTTTCTCTAAAAACATACTGAAAGGGACATATTGGAGAGGATTAATGCATGAGCATCTAAAAGTCGATAATAACCTTATCATGTACTGTCAAATAACCAAACCGTAAATTCACTTTCTTTATAGTCATGTCTTTCTAATTCTAAGTAGGTGACATTTGCAGTTATTGACTTTTCGGGTATTTTCTTGCAACAATACATCGATTTCTGCCCTTGATATTTTTTTCCCGACACACAAGGTTTCACATTTCCCCCTCTAAAGTGACATTTGAGCCAACTTGTTTAGTTTTAGCATGAGACTTTGAACTTTATGTTGTTTCTTTAAGTGATGCAACTTCCTGAAATGTTGTTGTTGTTGCTGTCTAAACTTCAAGCGAATCCATTAAAAGCACAGAGAAAATGGTTCCTTTTAGAGTTGGACTGTTTTTGTTGCATCATCCTAAAGCGGGGTTAAAGAATCCTCTTATGTTTATACATCAAACCATAGGAGGCATTTTTTCTTGTTAATTGTGTCGGTCTATGTGATATATTACAGTAAAGTTTCTTTTATTCATCCATTGTGACACTGCTTCAGTTATTGCTCGATTGTTTGCTTACATGCAAAGGGTTACCAGAAAGTACCTTTAAAAAGCTCTTAGCTACTTGTATTGTAATTTTATTGGATAGACTGGCAGGAAGTTGAATGGTTTTGTAAATAATAGAAAAACATCTTGTGCATTTATTCAAGTAGAAATCAGGGAAATGTGAAATGTTTTCGTATTTAGCCTTCTTTAGTTATTTTAAACGACTACCTTCTAATGTAATTACAGCCTTTTATCTCTGTATGTACTTCCCATAAGATGTGTAAAATAGCATCTGTGAACAGCTATTTTAAATCTTGTCAGAGTCCTTGGACTAAAGGTCTGACCTTTGCTCAAACTGTTTTAACACATGCATATGTTGTAATTGATAGCATTAGATTGTTTTCTGCCACCGTGGGTTCAGTGCGGTGCCGCATGTAACATTCACAGACTAATGGTTGTCACTTCTATAAGATTCTCCCACCTTTGTTTTCTTAGCCACTCCTAAAGATTGTCTACGCTCCTCTTGGCTGTTTTTGACCAATGAGCTGTTAAATATAATTGTATAACTCTAATTCTGCTTTAACCATCTCCATAACTTTATCCCTGATGGCAAAATGCCTGCTGTTGAAATCATGAGTAGCTTAACACAACAGTGATTAACTGGAGCTACCGATTATTTGTTGGTATGAAGCTAAAAAGAAAATCTTTCTTTGTCATAATTACATTGTTATTCCTCTTGTGCAGTTTGGAAAGAGCATCTTTTGCATGTTTCATATTGAATGCATGTATTAACATATTCATCCAGGGGCCTGGAAGGGCTACAGGTTTGTGGTAAGAACACGCTTCAGTTTTTAACCACCTCATTTAAGTACTATACTCATACACCTACTCTTGTAAAATTAAAAAGCATCACGCACAACTTTTTTTAACTCACAGGGCGACATTACTTTTTGGCCATCTATTATTGTTTCTCTATCTTTGGAAAGCGTAGGCTTAATTGGTTATTTCTTTTTTATTGCTTTTAGATAACTTCTCTGACTTAAAGTGGAAAAAAATGTCTTTGTCTTAAGGTTTTCTGATCAGGCAAAATGCCTCATTAAATGTCTTGCTGTAGGTAATGTTTTCCTTACCTATGACACCTTTGTTTACTCACGAAAAAAATTATCAATCAGTTAAAATGGGTTCTTTATATCTAGATTTCAAATATATTTCAAACTTTAAACTGATTTAGCATCATTTTAAATCACAGTTCCTCATCTGCCCAATCATACTGGTGTTTTGTCTATAAACTTCCAATAAACTACACTGCAAAAAATGTAAAACTAAATAAGTAAAACTTCCTTGAATTAAGTGCATTTGTTCTTGAATTGAGCAGGTAAGCGACATACTTTGCCAATTGAATTAGACAATTTACATTTAAAATAAGAAAAAAACAACTGCCGTCTCTTATTTCAAGTGCATAATATCTGATTATCTTATTTTAAGGCTAAATACACTCATTCCATTGGCAGAGCGTCCCATTTACCCACTCAAATTAAGGGTAAATACACTTATTTTAAGGATATTTTTACTCATTTTAGGATCGTTTTTGCAGTGTACATTGCTTGTGGTAGTTTTTACCGTAGATGAGCCACTGCGAAAAACTTAAAGGAGTTTTATTGTACAAGGCACCTGAAACATAAATTTATTTACTTGTTAATTTGCGTGTCAGCTCAGGAATACTTCTATTTTGTTACACTGCCCCCTTTTCCTGCTGTTTATGCAACAGTATTAATGGTTCACTTAACACACCGCACCGAGCAATGTCTCCCTCCAGAATTAACAATGGACCTCTACACTTTTACTGCCTCTGGTGTGGTTTCATAGCTTCACTTCCATCTGGCTCCTTGTCAGCTTTCATATGCTTTCCACTGGGAGAGATGCAGGAAGGAGAAAGCAACTGAGGAGAAGAGTATCTTATAACCTAACAAGCTCTATTGGGATCTGGACTTTGTAAGGATGTATCCCTTTAACCACAGCACACATGGGAGTTGAACAGGATAGATCTCAAATTGTTGTATTTCTATCGGTCCATAGTACATGCAAACACTACCAAAAAATCTGCTCCTATCAAAGAGATGAACTTTATGAGTTGTTCTCCATAAGCGCTCAAGGCTGTTTTCTGTCACTTTCGGAAAAGCTAAAAGAGTGTAAAGTATTAAAGAATTCAGATCTTACAAAGTTAGAATTTAAACTAAGGAGGCAGTCAATGCATCATCCCATCTCTCCAGAATCTTTTTATATCCAACAGTAGACTTTGTTTCACATTTCAAACTGCTATAATTTGATGAAAGCAGCTCAAAGATGTGCAATTTTCTAAGTCAGCTCTGAAACAAATAAACAAAGCTTTCCCTGAATCACATCATTTTATCACTTTTTATGATTTCCCCATAAATGTATGCCTCCCTTTTGTCTTTTCTCAATGTTTGTAGACGTGGTGCATGGTAACTGCCAAAAGCTTTTCTCTTATGTTCACTTTTAAACTACCCTAATGTTTTAAAAATCCTTCAAAATGCCAGCCTGCTAAACGATGTTCGTTAACTGCAACACAAAATAGAATTACAGCAGTTAGGTTTTTAAACAATGTTCCATAGTTCAGCTGAATACTACTGCAAGTTTAACCCTTTATAGGGCATTCAGTGAAATCCTTTGAATCCACATTTCAAGCCAATAGTGTTATTGGAATCCAGGACAAGACCTTATTACCTTTGTAACATTTTGTTGGCAAAAATGAATGTCAACGCCAACTTGCCCGAATATATTAAGAAAAAAAACAAAAATATGTGCTTCTATAAGAAATTCATGAAAAACACAAAGAAACACATTTGATTTTGGTACAACATAACCTTAGAGGCTTTAATGCTGATACTAGCACTTACATCTTTTAGTTTGTAAACCTAAATATGATTGTTAACTAGTTTTATTAAGTTTTTAACCTTACTTTTTAACTTTTTAATAAGCTTTTTACCTTTTTTTATGACCTTTTGTAATGAGACAGAGACTGGATCCGAATAAACCAAGACAGGTTAGTGATGTTTGATCGGTTTATTGAAAGGGTTACTCTGATAGCGGGACTGAATCTGAGTGGGGCAAACAGGCTGCAGGTAGACAGGCGGGCAGATTGAGAGAGGTTTACCAGTTTTTGATCCAGGACGGGAAGGCAGGCAGTTAAGCTGAGCTTTTCCGAGTTTGTGATCCAGAGAGAGGGGAGTAGGCAGTCCGATCAGAACGATTCAGAGATCCGGGGATCCAGAGGCAGAGCAGAGTGGGTAATCAGGCAGGCAGAATCAGAAAGGGGTCAGGCAGGCTCGGTATCAGGAGGTAGATCGGGTCAGAAACGGGTAGACAATCAGGTACTCTTTAAGATGCTGGACTATTCTTACCAGGTTGGCTCAAGATAATCTGGCACAAAGGACTGTTCTGATGGGTTTTATATACTGCTGGAAACAGGTGACTCCGGTCAGAGCTGATTGCGGACGGGTGGAGCAGAGCAGGTGTATGGACTGATTGATCAGGCCAGAAACAGTGCAGAGACCATCACACTTTTTAACCTTTTAATTAACTTTTTACCTTTTT